ACTGAACAGAACATCATGAGTCTAATATCAGGCTCATCCACATTCAAGATTCGTCAATTGCTTTATTTGTTAATATGACTACATGGTAATAACAACAATTCGAAAAAGGAAGGGAAAAGGAGCTCGTTTGCCTACTGGCGAACGTTTTTGCTTACTGAGCAGAAGATCGTGGGTTCAATCCCAAGCTCCTTCGCGTTATATCATCGTTGGGACATCAATTCAGCTTATCGTTTACCAAAACGAACTCTGCTGCTATCTCTACCCTCTTACCTAATATCCCAGTGATTCCTCGTGGAAGTGCAAAGGTGTTCTCGGCTTCCATCAAAGCGAGTGTCACGTCAACACATTCCTACCCATTCCTTTCTTGACCAGCGTTTGGACACGGCCAGCGCTGCTGGTATTGCTTAGTTAGAGATCACCAGTTTTTACACATTAAGGATGATTGCTAGTCTCAAGCATCGTCTATTGGTTCTCTGTGTAATTACAGCTGATTTGGCAATAACTCAGTAGCAACCGTGGACAGTCAATCATGCTCATGCTCATACTCATGCTTAATAAGACCTAAATCGGTCATGCAGTGTTTGGAATTGACCTTTGCTGGTCGGAGCGAATGACGATGATGAGGATGCCAGCTGGTTGGTCGTTTTTGCAATGATGCGATCATGCCCTTGCTTGGGCTTTGGCTGATTATTCACTAGTGATGAAAGTACCAGCCAAGAAATATCGAAATTATTTGGAAGAAAAGTTAATCATTGTACGGCTGAAATCGAATGAAAGAAAATGCGCGTGGAATGACTACTATTCATGTCGGTTTGGAGGATGATTCGAGGCCCGTTTACCTTCAGAATCGTGGAGAGCGGGTCCAATTCTCCCGCTATTTTTGTAACGTTAAACGTCGTTCCATGGCAGCATTGGGGGAGTTGGGGAGTATTTTTGGTTTGCTTTATGCAGAATGTATACATTTTGTATATGATGGACGGGTTCTGGGTCGTTTTCTGCTAGTTCAGAATCAAGTTAGTGTAAAGGCGGTACAGTTTGGGTTCAAGATGGGCGGGTCACACCATTGGACTATAATCATGGTGAGTTTGTTCCAGTTGAGAAGCATTCATACCTATAAACTTTTCTTGATTTCCGTTTTTTTCCGGCGAGATGGCCTCCATTGTGCGTTATTTATTGTTCGGTGAGTTTAGAATTTGCTAATTTTGGAACATAATTCAGAACTCCGGAAAGCATGTTCCGCAAAATTTATTTCTAGGTCAAATGAAAGTAATAAGGTCAAATGGAAAGTGTTAACATTGGAGCAGCTTCAATGCATAGTTCATGAATCTACATCATTGGACATCATAATGGAATTATTTGCCATATGCGTCACGAAAAATGGAGGGGAAAAAAGTGGTAGCATCTTTTCGTCGTGTAAGTTTACGAGATCCGGGTCGTTTGCAGCCATTTCTGAACCAAGTAAATGCAGAGGTTTTGCAGTTTGAATTCAAAATGTGTGACATCGGACATGGACATCGATTATGGCTGGATTTCTTGTTAAGCTTTGAGTTTGTTGGTTTATTTCCTTTTAATTCCGTTATAATTGCTTATCTTTTGACAGATACACGTATTTCGTCTACTAAAACACCACTGGTACATGGCACTGATGAAGTCTGCAAGTAGTAGACGGAATACGCGTATCTGTGAAAAGATAAGCAATTATAACGGAATTAAAAGGAAATAAACCAAAACACTCAAAGCTCTTCATAAAGCGGTTCCGTTAAGAGGTTCGACAAATTTCAAAGATTGGATTTCTTGAGTTTGTTCCAGTTGGGAGACATGTTTATAAATCACTGACCTTGATTTTCGCGCTCGGGTGCAGTTTGGTTGTTGCAATTAGATGCGTATGTTGAGTTTAGAATTTTGGAAAGGGTGAATGCGTGATCCAGTTTGTAAAACATGGTTAACTGCTTTCGAGGACGACACTTTATTTGAATAGCTTTTTGTTAAGTCGGTCGTAGATTGTAAGGGGCACGGTGGGTCTATGGGAAGTAACGTTTTGATTTAAGTGAGGTCCTGGGGTTGTCAATTAGTTTGAATTATTCAGAAGGATTCCATCATTCCACACTCTGAAAATGTGTTCACTTTAACTTAATCCACTTAATGCACTTCACTAATCTGATGTACTAACGCTCGGCACGCGGAAACTCCAGCTCCCATTGGCTGTCGAATATCGCCAACGGTGGTGGAGTTACCAGGCTCCGAAAGCGTTTCCGCTCTATATTCACTGCTTTCACTGTAATTCTACCGGAGGTAGAATTGTACAAAAGGTTCATTCACTTAATAAACCGTACCCACAAGTACTTCATTCTACACTAACGACAGGGTACTTATGTACCATTAAATAAATAATTAGGACGGAAATGTTGCTCCTTTTTCCCCGAGCATTATTTTCCATTCATCAACCGCAACTACCCATGAATGAATTGCAAAATCTCACCTCCTCCTGCTGCTGGCCGCACTCTGGGCTGGTTGACACCTGTTGCTCCATCTCTGCCCACGCTTGCTCGTTTTTCGCACTTTCATTTTCATTGTATACGGGGCAGCCAAGGCAAGGTTTGGCAGGTAGGGAATTTCTTTTTTATTTTCAGCCGACACATCTTGAGAATACTCAAGTAGGCATTGGGTTTGAATATTTTATGGCTACCGACGACGCCCGCTATTAGGAGGCACACGATGAGACATCGAATGGAGCAGCAAATGTCACGCAAAAGAAATATTCTTGAGGGTGTTTAAGAGTCTTGTTTGGTTTAGTAGGTAGCCTACCTACAAGAGGGCAGCTCGTCGCGCTGTCTAAAGAAATGAAAAGACGTCGGTTCGTGTTTGGCATACCGAATGAGGTATTAATTTAGCATAAATACGGGGGCCAAGGAATGGGTCGCGTGATTCGCGGGGGCGATGACAAGCGGAAATGGTGTTGTTGTCTGGTACGATGGGGTTCAGAAGGGGGGAAGGTTTTTTTGATAGGATGTTCAATGGAAGTATGGTGGCTGTGGTTGCTGAAGGTGCGATTTGGAGATTGTTTGTTTTATTTTTCGTCGAAGTTCTGCGCATATTTTCGATGACAATTGAGGGAATGGTTATTTAATGTTATGTGTGATTGTATGCCACCGGTGTTGTAGAGGAAATTTACGTTTTAAGTAGGCTTACCTGGAATGAATGCGGGGAATTTACAAAGAGTTTTATTGCTGGTTCAGGTGCAGTTGAAAAATGTAATTTTGTAAAAAATGTTTTCTTTCGATGATCTTGAGGGATTCAAGACACGCCCCTGACTTTCTAGAAATCGTTTAGAAAAAGCCATTTTGGATCTCACCTCGAATTCCTTCGAAACTATCACCAGAATTCCCTTGGACTTCTCTTTAACAAAAAAAAAAACACCTGGAATTCTTACCAGAATCAATTTAAAATTTCATTCTGAAAAAAATTTATGCACGTGAATTTTGTTCAAAAAATTTGAAAAAATTAGATTTTTTAAATTTTTTATATCATTAAAAATTAATTTTTAGACGTAATTTTTATTTTCACAGTGGTGAACTTCCCCTTAAGAATAGCTTTATGACCCACTTATCCGTATAAAACACCGTGCTCAGCAGCAACGAAGGTGGCATTTTCCAACAAAAAATCCTAAGGAGCCGAGCGATTGTTTTACTTAAGGTGAAAGTGAATCGGATTAGAATGACTCAAACAAATTAAAGAACTAAATTGTTATCCCTAGTAATTTTTACAAGATTGATTTATTGTTTAAATTTTCTGAAAACCATTTTCTAAGTTCAAACCACAGTCAAGTGGTCGCAAACTTTGCTCATCAATTACACAAGTATTTCGTATGAAAGGTCATATTTCACTCCCATAGATCGTTTCAAAATATTGTTAGGAACATTACCTCCGAAGACAACAGGTATTATTTCGATACAAACCATTTTTTTTGTAACGCAATTCCAAGCATTAGATTTCGTTTTCCTAAGCAATCAACTGGCTTTCGCATGTATCTGTGTGTAAGCATGCTACAGGTTGAAGAGCAATGAGATTGAAGAACAAAACATTTAGAGTATTTCTAAGTCGTGTTGGAAACGCGTGCATTTGTGAAATAATAGAAACAATTCAAGTGTGTGTATGCGTAAGCTAATTTAAGGAGGCTCTGTGAAAGTTTTAGCCTATTTGATGGAGGTTTTCTGATATATCTGGATATTTTTAAAGATAAATGGAACTATTTTAGAAATTACCCACTTTTGACATTGCTGAATGAATTATTTTTCAAATCAAAAGGTTCCTCAATTTTCACATGTTGTTCCTGAACTTCGGCAGGAGATTTCTTTTATATCGCTTTCTCAATCTAGGGTAATCCAAACAGTCAGTTTTGCATTTTCCTATTTGGATTACCCTAGACCGAGAAAGCCATATAAAAGAAATCTCCATTCGTACCAGTGGAAAAATCTAATAAATCACTTCGGCAGGAGTTCCCTGAACTTCGGCAGAACTTCCCTGAACTTCGACAGAACTTCTCTGAATTTTCGCAGAACTTCCCTGAATTTCAGCAGAACTTCCCTGAACTTCGGCAAGACTTCGCTGAACTTCGGAAGGACTTTCCTGAACTTTGGCAGGACTTTCGGCAGGGCTTCCCTGAACGTCATCAGGACTTCGCTGAAGTTCGGCAGGCCTTCCCTGAACAACGGCAAGGCTTCCCTGAGCATAAGTAGGACTACCCTGAACATGAAATCTTTGAATTTAAATTGTCATTTCAGTAGTAGAATTATTATAATTATACAAGAATATTGTGTTTACGAACACGGTCAAATTTGCTATGCTTGTTGGTATTGGTGCATTTTGAATTTGGGTGTGGATTCAGTATCAACGGAAAAGCATTAACTTTCACCTTAACGGCGAGATCGAAACTAAATTCTGGCAATCATGACGGATTTCTGTTCCAAAATGATTTGATCGATAATGTCGATATTACAGGAATGATCGAGTTCGCTTCTCAGATTGTCACTAAGAAGCTGAACTACCACCATCAAACCGACATAATACAGAAGCACAGGTTTGATAAAACTTCTCAAACTCACATGAGGTTAGAAAATACTAGTAGCCCTCATCTTGAATGACTACCCAAGTAACATTGCAGGTTTTATCGCGGTTTTATAGCATTCTGCAAGTCTTAATCATGGTCTACACAACCCTTATAAAACCAAAATTGTTTAGAGTTGCCATAACTTAAATGCAGTTCCCATATTTTTTCTAAGGAAGTTTGCAGGAAAGTTCTGCGAACTTTGAAGAAGGTTAGTGAGCTTAAGCGAACTACAGTTAACTTTAGGATAGTCCTGCAAACTTCAGCGCAGTTTTGTGAACTTCAGGGAAGATTTTCGAACCTTAGGAAATTGCGAACTTCAGGAAAGTTCTACGAGCGTCACGAAAACTCTAAGATCATCAATGAAGCTCTGCGAACTACAGGTAAGTTTTGTAAACTCCAGTGACGTTTTGCGGTTGTGAGAATTTAAAGAACCGCTTCAAACTTTGAGGACGTACTGCATTTTTTTTCCGGTAAGTTCTTTGAACTTAAGTGAAACTGTGAACTTCAGTAAAGTTCTGCAAACTTTAGATGCGTTCTGCGAACTTCACAATACTTTGCAAACTTCAAGGAAATCCTGTGAACTTGAGAGAACCACTGTAAGTTCTGTGAAGTCCAGGATAGTTCTGCGAACTTCAAGGAAAACTGTATGAATTTCATTAAAGTTCAGCGAATCTCAGAAAATTCGTGCAAACTCCAGAGAAACAGAGAAGCTCAGCAACGTTCAACGTTCCTCGTAACGTGGGTAGATCACCTTTTCGTGGTACGTTACGGGATGTAAGATCTACCACCGATTCCTAGTCCCGACTACTTCAAACTAGGGGAACAGGATTTTTCAGTAATCAAAGGAACACATCTTAGTCCTTGTTACTTTTTATGCCTTGTTGATAGTGACAAGACTCGGCTTTGTCCACCGAGGATGATCTTGAAACAAGGAAAAAATTAGTTAGTAAGTCTTCATCTATGTGATTCCTAATCTTCAATTCGTTGTTCCCTAGTTTGAAGTGGTTAAGACTAGGGTTGTGATGTATGGTCATTATCGGTGTCATTCCTTAATTTTATTGCTAAGGAATCCGATTTTGACTGACAAAGGGGCACGCCTTTGGAGGGTGTTCCAACACTTCGAAGGGTATAAATAGCGGGACCTTTCAATTAGAGTCGGATCCTTGCGATAAATGCAAGAATGACAACTGTAAAAAAATCGAATACTTCATCATTTCTCAATAGTGATGGAGTAATACGACATGCACTGAGGACACGGGATATACTACAATAGATCAAATTACTGGTCGCAGTGGTTTAGGTCCCGAACAGAGAAAAAAAAACGTTCAGAGCGAAGTTCTACAAACTTCAAGATAACTCTGCATACCGTCTTTAAGAAAAATATTGCAAACTTCAGGGAAATACTGTGATATTCAGAGAAATTCTACGAGGTTCTACAAACTTTAGGGAGCTTTGTGAGCTTCATTGAAGCTCAATGTCCTCCTAGTAAGCTCTAAGCATTTCAATAAAATTCTGTGAACTCTAGCCTAATTATATGAACTTCAATGTAGTTCTGCAAACTCCAGGACAGTTCTACCACAGTTAGAAAAGTTCTTCAAACTTCAGCAAATTTCAGTAAACTTTAAATACGTTCTGCGAACTTCAACGCAGTTTTGAGATCTTCAGTGAAGATTTTCGAACCTATGGAAAGTATTGCGAACTTCAGGAAAAATCTGCGAGCAAACATCCAGAAAACTTTCTTTTTAAATTTATTTAGGAGATTTTTAGCGGAAAGTTCTACGAGCTTCACGAAAACTCTACGAACTTCAATGAATCTTTGCTTACTCCAGGTAAGTTTTGTAAACTCCAGTGACGTTTTGCGGTTGTGAAAATTACGAGAACTGCTTCAAACTTTGGGGACGATCTGCATTTTTTTTCGGCAAGGTCTTTGAACTTAAGTGAAACTGTGAGCTTCAGTAAAGTTCTGCAAACTTTAGGCGCTTTCTGAGAACTTCACGGTATTTTTGCAATCGTCAAGGAAATTCTGCGAACTTGAGAGGACTTCTGTAAGCTCTACGAACTCCAGGAAAGTACTGCGAACTTCAAGAAAAATTGGATGAACTTTAATAAGGTTCTGCGAATCCCAGGAAATTCGTGCAAACTCCAGATAATTAGAAAGGCTCAATAGCTCTACAAACTACAGGAAAATTTTGCGCTTCGAATTTCAAATAAGTTCTTCAAACTTTAGGAAAAGTATTGAAAACTTCAAGGAAATACTGCGATAATCAGAGAAGCTCTTCGAACATCAGGATAATTCTGCTAGCTTTAACGAGTTTTGTGAGTTTTTTTCCTGGTAAGTTCTACGATCTTCAAGAGAGTTCTGTGAGCTCTAGCCTAATTATATGACTTCAATATAGTTCGGCAATCTCCAGGAAAGTTTCAGAAATCATAAAAATTCTTCAAACTTCAGGAAATTTCAGCAAATTTTAAATACGTTCTGAGAACCGCATGCAAAACCTAATTACATTAGAAAGTACTGTAAACTTTAAGAAGTATTTGCGAAATTCAAAGAAATTCTAAGAACACCAGGAAAGTTTGAAGAGCTTAATGGAAGATGTTACAATGCCAGGAAAAATCTATTGCCAGGGATTTGAATTTGAAAGTAGCTTCTTTGAGCTGCCTCCGCGGATCGTCAGTGAAAAAACTCTCACTCCATTTCAGAGAAAACAGGTATGGTATCTCTTTCTCTGTTATGGTACCCTTATGGAATCTGAGAGCATCTTAAAAATGAAGGAGCAAGGGGAGGGAGCGCCAAAATGACGGTTTGCCACCTAACCTAATATCATGAGTACGTTTTGTATTATTTAAAAATCCGCGTTTTAAGCTAGCCAAATTTGAACATCATTATTAGGCGTAAATCAAAAGTATTGAACTATGCAAGGATACAGTTCCCGGTGAATGAACTAAGCATACAATTTTCCACCTGATAAACACCTCTTGGTATTGTTGAAACCGGTTTCCCCTTTACGATGGACGGCCATGAATCATCACTTTAACCAAGGCAACTAACTTAACATTCATGTCAGCGACGATGTTGATACTGTTAACGATGATCACAGAGAGACGATATGCTACCCTGAATGGGGACCCTGGCCTGGTGTGCACGCCGATTATCACGCCACTTACACGCACATAACTGGACATATGTTCCGGCGGCGGCGGTGGATGGGAAACGCAATCAAATGGGTGGCTGCCTGGCTGGGAGTGGGAAAATGACTACTCATAAACATAACGATTACATAATTAAGCAGAGCATTAGATTCCATGCGGGAGGCAGGCAGGGTGCAGAGAACCGACGGCGTTGGAAAGTTTTGCCATGTGAAGTTCGCTACTTTAATTTTACGAGACGATGTTCGGAGCACGCGGTTTTTACTCTTTAACTTTAGAATGTGCTATTGAAAGAACGTGGCGGCGGGACTTTCCCACGACTCCATTCAGGGATGATGCAAGAAGGTACCCCTGCTGTGAGAACTGTTAAATGACCTTCAGGAATGTCATGTCGGGAAAGTCTCAACACGGAGCGTCACCTAATTAAATAGGAATTAAAATCATTTATGAATAGTTTCCGGCGTTTAACTTGCGCGAAATGCCTTAAAAATCTGGATGCACGGATTACGGACGAGAAGAAAAATCTGCGCTATTCCCATGGGTCGTTGTCGTCGTCGTCGTCGTCGTCGGCTTGGTCGATTGGTCGTCTACACTGCCAGATGGAAAAGCATGGAGGCGCAGGGTCTCAGTCGTCTCTGCCTAGTCGTCAAGCACCATTAAACCGGCTTTTGCTTCGTTTTTTTTTCGTTTGCTCTGCTGCAGTTACTGTGCAAGTGATATGCGTGCTGCAAAGTGCACTGGTTTTTCTTCTCTGGCATGCCCTTCGGTTGCAGACGGAGCCCACTCGAGTGACTGAGTCTGCGCGCCGCACAGTCATTATCGTGAATATGTAGTCGGGAAAGTCAAGGTCAAGGTTTCATTCAACCGGATTCTTGAGAAAAATGTAGGATTTATGCTCTTCTTTGGGCTGTTCAGTTTCATTTTGTGAATGAAATCATTCAATATCTCAGCGGCAGTCTTGATGTAAGCGTCCGGCGTAAATACGAATGTTGGGTGTCATTTGCCAAATTCCCCACTCAAAACAACGGTTTCAACACCCTCTCGGGTGTTCCTATTTTTGTTTCCCGTAATTTGATCCGGCAACACGCGCACTTCTACCCTCCGAACAACAATGCATTTGCAAATTTCTACTAATGATGGGAGCCCTTGAATGGCTTCCCCGAACTATATGCTACGGAACTGTACTTTCGGTAAAGTGGCACGACGAAAAAATTGCACATGCCCGGATGCCCGACTCAATCTAACCCCAACAAATGCAGAAGAAAGAACGAGCGAAAAAAATCGGTTGCCAACGATGGCAGATGCATTTTTGACCTTGAAATGCTTTTGGCACCCCGGAGCAATGAATTGCAGACTGTTGTTGGCCCGTCGTATCCCACCATCAAGATGCTGGAAGATGTGATGGGAACGTGAAGGTTAAGTGTGATCCATGTGCTTGCGTGAGAGGAGCGTCCCTACGGCAGTGCCACAAACAGGAAAGAGGGTTTTGATCGATACTTCCTGTTTTTGCGTTGATCGTGATCTTGGATGTAGGTAATGGATGCCATGAGAGTTGAGAAGGTTTCGTATTGAATTATCTGTGGTAGGGAATTCATTATATTATAACACTTGAGATCACGAATTTCAGTATGCATACGGAGTGATGTGACAAATTCATATGTTGTTTCAGTGGCGTAGCTTGGATGTAGAGGCATATTCAACTAACATAATTTTGATTAATTTAAAATTCCCTCTCAACATTCGTAGTGATTTTTTTCAATCCTTATGTTGTGTTCTAATTGGTGATTTTTCACTTGAATTTGACCCCACATTTCAATTAACTA